CTGCTGCTGCTCCTCTTTGCTGATTCAGTTTTAATCATCATGTTTCTGTCAGGATCCATCAGAGACTCAAACCAGAACCAGAACCAGAACCCAGCTGTGTGTCCTTTAAGAGTGACAGGTCAAGGGATTGTCCCATGGACTTTAAATCTCCTGGATCTCCACCATCAGAGAGGTGAGCTGTTTCTAACTGCTGTAACTTCAGTTTATATCTGTTATTGTGGCCATGTGATGATAAGTTCTGTTAGGTTCTATTATATTTGATATTTGCATCTTTTTCTAAAATCTGACAAAAAACAGATTCATTCTGAAATAAAACTTTTTCTATGAATTATTTTATGATTTCACCTCTGAAGTTCAAACATCATCCAACATGGCAGATTATCAACCATTCTACAGTTAAACTGAATATTTAGTGGATCTGATTGAGCAGTGGGCTTCAGTGTCTCTAATGGACCATCTGGTTCTGATTGAAGCTCCATCAGATCCTCCTTGGATGGTCAGAGTAGAAAGGACTCCTGGTTCTGCTCCATGTCAGAACTCAACACTAAATCACCAAACTTCTCTCAGTCATTTAAACCAACCTGTTGGTCTCAGAAACTGATCTTTCTGCTCTTTAAACAAGGCTGGACATTATTCAGGAGGATCAATGATCAGGAAGATGTTGGAGGATTGGACCGGTTCTGATGGAATCATTAGAACATCAGGTTGATGATCTGTCTGGTTCTGGTTTTGATTTTGTTTTATTTTACAATCACATAAAAAAATATCTTGAAAGCAAACAACAGAGAGATTTTCTTTCAGGATCCATCAGAGATTCAAACCAGAATCAACCAGAACCCAGCTGTGTCTCCTTTAAGAGTGACAAGTTGTTAGGTTTTTAGATAATACAAATATAAATATTCAAGATTCGGACTATACAAGTTGATAAACCTTTGCCCTGGGATCTGTGTTTCTTTTATCTTTGAAGCAATGAGTTTGTCACTTTGGAGACGGATGGCCAGGGTTACACTTAGCCTAGTAGGAAGAATGGGTCGTTTGCATACACCCAGAGTCTCAGGAACTGAACTTTACGACCCCAGAGGGGGACGGGAACTGAACCAGAGAATCCCGGGAACAGAGCAAGATGCTTGCAGTTACAATTGCCCTGACAGGAGGACAAGGGGACCACAGGTGCCAACCAGGGGGAAAGAGTTGATACCTAGCAGGAGAGCGGATCAAAGGCTAGATGTCCCAAGAAACTCTAGTTTTATGGTCCAGAAAGACACAAACAACTGTGACCTCCGGAGATGCAAAGACGGTACCTTGAGAATGTGTATTGTGTTTGCCACTCCTTCTATGCAAATGTTTTCTAATTAAGCTACGCCTCAATGAAATAAATATGCAGTTGCAGAGAAGCACGTTAGAACTGGTCCAGAGACAGAGACAAAGGAATGTCTCCGTTCAATTGGAAGATTGCATAAGAAAATTTAACCGTCTCCCTCTGTCCTTATTTAAAGACCAGCAAGAGTGCTGGGTAATAGATCCAACACATGTCAAATTTAAAGATTATTTAAAGATAATTTCATTACCTTTAAATCTCCTGGATCTCCACCATCAGAGAGGTGAGCTGTATCTAATTGCTTTAACTGTGGAAACTGAACCAGAAAGAACTCAGATGTTTCCAGTTATATTTCCAGAGGTTTGATCCATTATCTACAGAAATCAGCTGCTCTGTTCTCATGAAAACACCTTCATATCTTTATCTCTGGATGTTGATGATGATGTTCTGCTTCCTGGCTCCATGTCAGACTAACAGTGGATCACATTTCCACTGGGAAATACCTGATAAAGCCATTCTGGTCCATGAGGACAGAATGGCTTTAGCATTTCTGTCCGTTTCAGTCCGTTTACGGTGCAAAACAAATGATTCGAATCTTGCAGAGTAACCTGGAACTGGGGAAATTTGGGATATTGATTTTGTTATTATTAGCTTATCGAGAGAAACTACTCAATACCTTAGATCAACATTATCAGATTCCAGAGAAACCCCTAGTTTATTAATCACAAACTACTTATTCTTAAACATGGGTTATACCTTTTTGGTATAACCCCATGTGCATTGAGAGAGCAGTTCAGCAGGGAAGGAAAGCTTCATGATGTGGTTGGTGAGATCTGCTGGAACTCAACCAAACTGAGCTGATATGGACCATCAGAGGTTCTGCTGGTTCTTAGTGGGATCAGCAGGAACATTAAATCTTTACAACTATTTAGTTGTAAAGATTTAACTATTTATATCACTTCTTGGACCTTTGGTTGTCTCTGTGTGGACAGATACAATGTGAGCTCACTGGCTTCCAAGGATCTACAGGATCCATTTTAAAATCCCCACTATAACATCCAGTAGAGGATCCCACATGGACACACCCACATATTTCAGACCTCCTCCATGTCCACATCACCTCAGATCTAGTCATCAGAACCTGATGGATGTCCCACACTGTCCTGAAGACCTGTGTGGACAGAGCCTTCACTTCCACTGTCCCCAAGCTCTGGGAAACTGTCTCCACCAGCATCAGATCTGCTGACAGTTTGGACTGTTTGAAGTCCAAGTTCAAAATCAACATTTTAAAATGGTTCCTGGATTATTCTGGTGTTACTGATATTCATCAATGTAGATAATTTTCCTCTTCCTCACTTTGAATTGTGTTTGTGTGATGGTATGTTTTACTATATTAAGGACTTTTAATCTGAAACTCCTGGTGATTTCCTCTGTGAAAACTACTGGATGAATATTTCCTGACTTCCTAAATGTTCCTGGTTCCTCCACAGAGTGGACCAGCAGAGCTCAGAGGTTCCCAGTGGTTCATCAATCCAGCAGCATCAAACACAGCTAGACTTCATATTTATGGTCTGTACATGAACAACTACTTTTTTATGGGTTTTGTTCACATTCATCTCCATGCTGCACTTTGTAGACCAGAGGACTGTCAGTCTGTCCAACATCCATCTGGTGTTTGGCTCCATGATTTCACTCTGACATTTCCTTCATCTATTATTCTGTTCCAGCTGCTGGAGGAAAACATTGTCACTTTTGTGAAGAAAGAACTGAAAAAGATCCAGAAATTTCTGAGTCCAGATGACCCAGAACATTCAGAGAGTCAGAGAGATGATGAGGTGTTGGAAGGTGATGATGAAGAGCAGAGGAGGAGCAGCAGAGAGGCAGTGATGAAGATCACAGTGAACTTCCTGAGGATGATGAAGCAGGAGGAGCTGGCTGACCGTCTGCAGAGCAGTAGGTGCATTTCTTCAAAAATTTTAATTGATAGATAAATTACACATTTGCTATGGTGATGTAATCAATATGATTTTTTTATTCAAATCTGATTTTGTTATTGTGTTTATTCAGAACATCTTGCTGCAGTTTGTCAACAACTTAAATCTGGTCTGAAGAAGAAGTTCCAGTCTGTGTTTGAGGGGATTGCTAAAGCAGGAAGTCCAACCCTTCTGAACCAGATCTACACAGAGCTCTACATCACAGAGGGAGGGACTGGAGAGGTCAATGATGAACATGAGGTCAGACAGATTGAAACAGCATCCAGGAAACCACACAGACCAGAAACAACAATCAGACAAGAAGACATCTTTAAAGTCCCACCTGGAAGAGATCAACCAATCAGAACAGTGATGACAAAGGGAGTGGCTGGCATTGGGAAAACAGTCCTAACACAGAAGTTCACTCTGGACTGGGCTGAAGACAAAGCCCACCAGAACATCCAGTTCATATTTCCATTCACCTTCAGAGAGCTGAATGTGCTGAAAGAGAAAAAGTTCAGCTTGGTGGAACTTGTTCATCATTTCTTTAGTGAAACCAAAGAAATCTGCAGCTTTGAACACTTCCAGGTTCTGTTCATCTTTGATGGCTTGGATGAGAGTCGACTTCCACTGGACTTCCACAACAAGGAGATCCTGACTGATGCTACAGAGTCCACTCAGTGGATGTTCTGCTGACAAACCTCATCAGGGGGAAACTGCTTCCCTCTGCTCTCCTCTGGATAACCACACGACCTGCAGCAGCCAATCACATCCCTCCTCAGTGTGTTGGCATGGTGACAGAGGTCAGAGGGTTCAATGACCCTCAGAAGGAGGAGTACTTCAGGAAGAGATTCAGAGATAAGAAACAGGCCAGCAGGATCATCTCCCACATGAAGACATCACGAAGCCTCCACATCATGTGCCACATCCCAGTCTTCTGCTGGATCACTGCTACAGTTCTGGAGGATGTGTTGGAGACCAGAGAGGGAGGAGAGCTGCCCAGAACCCTGACTGAGATGTACATCCACTTCCTGGTGGTTCAGACCAAAATGAAGAAGGTCAAGTATGATGGAGGAGCTGAAACAGATCCACACTGGAGTCCAGAGAGCAGGAAGATGATTGAGTCTCTGGGAAAACTGGCTTTTGATCAGCTGCAGAAAGGAAACCTGATCTTCTATGAATCAGACCTGACAGAGTGTGGCATCGATATCAGAGCAGCCTCAGTGTACTCAGGAGTGTTCACACAGATCTTTAAAGAGGAGAGAGGTCTGTACCAGGACAAGGTGTTCTGCTTCGTCCATCTGAGTGTTCAGGAGTTTTTGGCTGCTCTTCATGTTCATCGGACCTTCATTAACTCTGGAGTCAACCTGATGGAAGAAAAACAAACATCTGAGAGCCTTTCATTATCTAGAGACTCTAAACTAAATTCTCTCCATCAGAGAGCTGTTGACCAGGCCTTACAGAGTCCAAATGGACACCTGGACTTGTTCCTTCGCTTCCTCCTGGGACTTTCACTGCAGACCAATCAGAGACTCCTACAATGTCTGCTGACACAGACAGGAAGTAGCTCACAGACCAATCATGAAACAGTTCAGTACATCAAGGAGAAGATCAATGAGAATGTGTCTGCAGAGAAAAGCATCAATCTGTTCCACTGTCTGAATGAACTGAATGATCGTTCTCTAGTGGAGGAGATCCAATGTCTCTGAGTTCAGGAAGTCTCTCCACAGATAAACTGTCTCCTGCTCAGTGGTCAGCTCTGGGTTTCATCTTAGTGTCATCAGGAAAAGATCTGGATGTGTTTGACCTGAAGAAATACTCTGCTTCAGAGGAGGTTCTTCTGAGGCTGCTGCCAGTGGTTAAAGCCTCCAACAAAGCTCTGTAAGGACACACATTGTCACTGTTTTATTTTTAATAAAAATATGCTCATTATGAGGTAAATATTCATGTTTTAATTTATGTTTTGGTGCATCGTTTCTTCAAAGTGTCCCATTGGGGGTTGAGCAAAGAAGAAACAGACTTCCTATAGCATCTCAACATAGTGTTACATATTAAAGCAGCAAAACTCCTCCACTGCTAAAGTTGAAACTGGATTAATAAAGTTAATTGTGGAAATTTATAATACTCTTTCCAACCTCTTTGTTACCTGTAGTTCAGTCCTTTATGGCTGGAGGTAGAAAAACTATAGAATGAACTAGTTCACAACAAATGCAAAGGTTGTGTAAAATAAGGTAGATCCTTCTCTGTCCAATAAAAACATTGATGATCTGAAAGAACATAAATTTTCAGGAATTATTTAGTAACATATTTTCCTCCCTGTCTCCTCAGACTGAGTGTCTGTAACCTCTCAGAGAGAAGCTGTGAAGCTCTGTCCTCAGTTCTCAGCTCCCAGTCCTCCAGTCTCAGAGAACTGGACCTGAGTAACAACAACCTGCAGGATTCAGGAGTGAAGCTTCTCTCTGCTGGACTGAAGAGTCCAAACTGCAACCTGGAAACTCTCAGGTAACTCTGGGCTCTTGACGAATTGTTGCATCTTAGGGCAAAAAGAAACATAATTATAGATCCATCCATCCATCAGTTCAGTCCTTGGTTTCTACCTCAATATTCTCATTTTCTCATCGTGATGAATTGTGTGTCTGCAGCTTATCAGGCTGTTTGGTCTCAGAGGAAGGCTGTGCTTCTCTGGCCTCAGCTCTGACCTCCAACCCCTCCCATCTGAAAGAGTTGGACCTGAGCTACAATCATCCAGGAGACTCAGGAGTGAAGCTGCTGTCGGCTGGACTGAAGGATCCACACTGGAGACTGGAAGCTCTCAGGTATGGAGGAACCTGCTGCAGGAGCAGAGAAGGTCTGATAGAGGAGGAAGAGGGAGAAATGTCTTTAGTCAGTCTGCTGGAAACATTTAGTTTGAAGCTGAATGTTTAATTTGATAATTAAATATTTAGACGCCTCATCTGGAGGCAGAGATCATCACCCAGTTTTCTGGAATATTCTCCAGACAAAGAACGGATCACAAGGAAAATTAAAGAGCTGGATGGTTTAATAGTTTCATAGAGACTCTGACTAAATTAATAAAAGAAGTTCAGTTAGATTTCCATGATGATCTACTGATGGCAGAAAGACTTTAAAACAATATTTGATGGAGCTCCAGACCAATCAACCCCAAGAAGCAAAGATGAGAAGAAAAGTACTCCATGTTGGTCAGATGGATGTTTAAAGTTTGGGAGAGAAAAATAAAAAACTTTAGATTTTAAACAAAACTCACAACTTTCAGAATTTAATAAAATATAAATTACATAAAAAGTGAAGAAAACAATTCATGAGGCAAAGAAAGAAAGTGAGAATTTTAATAGTTTCATCCATTTAGTAGTTTGATCTCCACCAGGGGGCGACATCTGGAAAATGATCAAAGAATGAAAGGAATCAGGAGAGAATGGAAATCCCTTGTTTTCTAGAGGAAATGAAGAATTGCAGTGAATGATGGTGAAAAAGTAGAATTGTGCTCTGTTGACTGGTAGAAATTAAAAACAATAATAAAACCTTTTAGACAGATCCAAGAAAAGACTAATGTGTTCAGGTTTCCAGTCGTTGGAAAAACTTTTGGGAATGTTCAATAAAGTTTGGAAAAATTCCCAACGTGTTGGAAAACCAGGAAATATCCATCCGACCAATCAGATTCCAGATCCACAGCTCTGACGTCACATTTAGGATCAATAATGGAATGGTAATAAGAGAAAGAATCAGATTTTATTGATAAAGTAGAGGGATGATATCAGCCCATCAGATGGTTTAGAAGAGGGAGAGGAAGCATCATGGGACTGCAGAGGTCCTTCACCTGATCCTGTTGTTGGGACAAGAACTTTGTTCCTGAACTTAAGGACATTTTTCATGTTTCTGTACGTAAGTAGATTTAATCCTGGGAACTTTTACTCCACTACATTTTACAGTATCTGTACTTTCTACTTCACTACATTTCTATAAATTGTTGTGTTACAAGTTACATCCAAGTCGCTTTGAGCTTTTTGATTTGTTGGTTAGTTTGAAAGTAATCAATGATTCTGGTGCCTTTGCCTCCCTGATATCATGAACTGATAACTTTCAAAAATTCACCATCAAATCTGAAAAACATGTGGAGGCAAGTTAAGCTGCTAAACTCTGAGTTCTGGATGTGAAATTTTCGGGGTAAGATGTCCCTTCACACGTCTCATTCATGTTTTGCTACACTAGTAAACGTATGAACTTTTATCAGTCTATACCAGGGGTTGGCAATTCCATGCCTTGAGGGCCTCAATGTCTCCTGAAACCTTTAGATGTGTTTCTACTTCAACACACCTGAGTGAAATAATGAGGTCATTAGCAGGACTCTGCAGAACTTGACTGCATTTAGGAGGTGGTTCAGTTATTTGATGCAGGTGTGTTGGACCAGGGAGAAACCTAAGAGTTGCAGGACACCGTCCCTCGAGGACCGGGAATGCCCACCCCTGGTCTTTACTCTTTCTGAACTTATAGGCCAGGGGTGGGCACTCCTGGTCCTCGAGGGCCGGTGTCCTGCAACTCTTAGTTGTCTCCCTGATCCAACACACCTGAATCCAATAGCTGAATCACCTCCTAAATGCAATCAAGTTCTCCAGAGACCTGCTAATGACCTCATTATTTGACTCAGGTGTGTTGAAGTAGAGATACATCTAAAAGTTGAAGGAGACCGGCCCTCGAGGACCTGGAGTGCCCACCCCTGTTATAGGCCCTATTCACATGTGCCACTCAGGCTGCGTTCCAAACTCTGTTATTCTTACATCAATTTGATACATTAGTTCCCCAATGTCGGTCCTCGAGGGCCGGCATCCTGCATGTTTTAGTTTTCTCCCTGATTTAACGCGCCTGGATAATTTGATGGCTCGTTAGACGCCTAAGAAGAACATTGACATGCTGAAAAGCTTGATACTACCAGCAGGGAGGGAACTAAAACGTGCAGGATGCCGGCCCTCGAGGACCAACTTTGGGGACGCCTGCATTAGGGGCTTCCGCATTTCCCATACATATGTCCTGGGTCACTTTTTAGCTGTTAAAACGGTTTAATCTGTTGTTTAACAGGTCCGTAACCTGGTTTTCTGAGCCGCCTTCAAACGCAACATGAACGCTGAGATGCTCGCGCGGGTCGTTTTACGGGAGTAGGGGGCAGTAAGGTTGTATGTGTTTAGGGTCACTCCCGTGTCAGGGAGTGATCTCGCAGAAATGGATGAGGGTTGTGATGGCGGGGAAAATGAAGGAACATGGAATATTCAAAAGCTAAAAACAAACGCAGAAAATCGAGACAATAAACAGAATCGTCTCTTTCTGAGGCAGAAGGAGAAACAGTTGTGATGACAGACTTTAAAATAGTCTAGAAAACGGTCAACGAGGGTGTGTCCTTTGGTACGTGGAATCTAATAAAAATTACTATAGAAATTACCTCACTGGTTGGAAAAGTGAAACATGTTAAAGTGATGAGAGATGGATCTTTATTGATCATTTGTAATGATGTTAAACAAAAAGAAAGGGCACTCAATTGGAAACTTCTCATCAAAGAGGTCAAAGGTCACATGTGGGGTACCCCAAGGTTCAGTCCTAGGACCCCTCTTATTCAATATTTATATTCTCCCACTAGCTCAGGTTATAACAGGAAATAATATTAGCTACCATAACTATGCGGATGACACACAGCTCTACATTACGATGTCACCAGGTGACCTTTGACCCCATCCAATCACTGAATAAATGCTTAGAGCAGATAAATGTGTGGATGTGCCAAAACTTTCTCCAACTGAACAAAAATAAAACTGAAGTCATTATTTTTGGACCTAAAGAGGAACGATCTAGAGTTATAGATCTAGAGTTATAGATCTAGAGCTATAGATCTAGAGCTTAGATCTAGAGCTATAGATCTAGAGCTATAGATCTAGAGTCAATGCACAGCTTCAGTTATTACAACTAAAAACTAGCGATCAGGCCCGAAACCTGGGAGTAGTGATGGACTCGGACTTGAACCTCCAGAGCCACATAAAGACAGTAACAAAATCAGCCTTCTATCACCTGAAGAACATCTCCAGGATTAGAGGACTAATGTCTCAGCCAGATCTAGAGAAACTCATTCATGCGTTTATCTTTAGTCGCATTGATTATTGCAACAGCATCTTCACAGGCCTGTCCAACAAATCAATCAAACAGCTGCAGCTGATCCAGAAGCTGCTGCTCCTGTTCTCACTAGAACCAGGAAGATAGAGACATAACAGCAGTTTTAAAGTCCCTCCACTGGCTCCCTGTAGCTCAAAGAATAGATTTTAAAATACTGTTGTTAGTTTACAAATCACTGAACGGTTTAGCACCACAATACATCAAAGATCTGCTGTTGTTGTATCAACCTTCCAGACTCTCAGGTTCTGGTTCTGGTTCTGCTCTGCATCCCCAGAACCAGAACCAAGAGAGGAGAAGCAGCTTTCAGCATCTATGCACCAAAAATCTGGAACAAACTTCCAGAAAATTGTAAAACAGCTGAAACCCTGACTTCCTTTAAATCTTAACTAAAACAGACCTGTTTAGAGTTTTATTTGAAATGTAATATGTATGGATTCGTATTTGTGGATATTTATTTATTTATTTATTTATTTCTTCCTGTTGTGGGCAACGGGGCCCGGCGAATACCCGTGGTTAAACGGACGGCGGAGTCTGGTGGTAACAGGCGCTTAAATTCCGTGACAAAAAGAAGGAAAGGAAAAAAAAGAAGAAAAAAAAACACTTGGTATTTTATTCTATGTTGCATGCCTTTGTGTTTTGTGTTTATGATGTAAAGCACTTTGAAATGCTTGTAGCTGAAATGTGCTATACAAATAAAATTTGATTGATTGATTGAATATTAAAAAAGTCTTAGGTGAGAATGTAAGGGGAGAATGTTGGATAAAGGAAATGTGTATATGGCGTAATTTCAGGTATTTCTCCTGATGTGCCAGTTGATGACATTAAATATGTCAGGAGGGAAAGTAGTTGAAGTCAGATGGTTGAAAAGGAACCAGGATGGAGAAAGGAGTGATAGCTTTTCTGTCATGATAAAGTTTGAAGAGAAAACTACCAGACAAAGTATTTGTGGGATATATGAGTTATGATGTTGGACCATTTATTCCTCCGCCTCTACAGTGTTTTAAATGTCAAACATTTGGACATGTTGCAGTGGCATGCAAGGGGAAACAGAAGTGTGGGAGATGTGCTGGGGATCATGAGTATGAGAAATGTGAGGAGGGAGCTCCTTAAAATGTTGTAATTGTGGAGGTGAACATAGTTCAGGTTTCAGGACATCCCCTGTCTACTAGAGCTCCCCCTGTACAAGAGCTGCAGAAGTACAGAAAATTAAAATTACTAATGGGATCCCTTCTGTAGAAGCGGCTGAAAAAGTGCTGTCCAACCAATGATGCATCCAAAGAAAGTGATGGGTAGAAGAAGGAAGTTTTAATTGTGGAATGCAATAAGATTAAAGTTGACACTATTCATGAGGAAAGAGGATTTTGTTTTATTCATGGTGGAGGTTATAAATTGCACTGATCAAACACAAAGGAAAACAGAAAAAATTCAAATCATTGTGAAGGCAGCACAAAAGTATCTTAATTTAAGAATGCTAGCTGGGAGTCAAATAAGGAAAAACTGAATGAGACACAATCTTCTTTATTTTCATCATGCAGTGGTGGCCCTTCTTCTTCATGTTAGTTATATTCCATTTAAATGCAAGAAGTCTCATTAGTAATGGTCTGGTTCAAGAAATACATTTCTGATTTGATAATTAAACCTCATTTGATCTGCATTCAAGAAACTTGGTTTAAGCCCCA